CAAAGGCCAACATGCTTCCCATCCCCTCTCCTCTCAGCCTTGTAGGACTGCAGGGTGTCCTCTGCCCAGGGGCACCTGGGACGTGGGGGTGGGAGAGAGGAGGTGAGAGGGGCTGGCAGTGGCTGGTCTGAATATCTGGGTGGTGACTCTTTAGCCTGAACTGTTGCCAGCTCTGGGCATTGGAAGCAGTCTCGGCACTGGGGAGCAGATCCCCACATTCCCAGGCCACCTCAGTGTAAAACTCACATACCTTCAGCCTTAATTAGCAACCTTACAATGGCCACGACCCCACCCTTCCACTCTGGGCCAACAGCGGGAGTCTGGAAAGAAAGGAAGCACTGGACAGGCTGCAGGCCAATTATGAAGGACAAGTCTCACCTCCTTAGCCTTTTCTCATTTCGGATTCCTCCTCCCCCTATTTTAAATCTTAATTCATCTTATAATAAATTAAATTAAACAATTTTGCTTCAACAAGCAAAGAGACCTACTGCATACCCAGCCTGGCAGCATCGGATAAGGCTCAGGTCCAGACTAAGACACTTTGCTACCCCATTCCCATAAATAGAACAAGCATTTGGGGTGGGGCCCCAGGTTGTCCTGAAAACACCCGGCTTTGTAGAGGCCTCTTGGGAGCCCAGGCGGATGTGTCAGGGACTCAAGGCAGGCCAGGCAGGCAGCCCCCAGTGCTGGGCTTATCTCCCGCGGACAGCTGTGAGCTCACACTCCTTGCCTCCACTCCTGCAGCCTGTCTCACAGCCTGTCTCTTGGTGTGTGCAGCGTGTGTGTGTCAATGTGTGTGTGCACCTGCGTTTGCCCCTGGATGGGCACAAGGGCACAGGTGTATTTGGACGGAGCTGTCTATCTCTGTGGTTCTGGGCATAGCTCTAGTCTTCTTTCTTCCCTCCCTTTACTGTTGGCAAGGGCAGCCCTTTGTAGTTCCTCCACTGATCCACTGTCATCTGAGGAGGGAAGACATTGCCTGTGCTGAGCTATCCCTGGGCCCAGAACATCCTTCTCTCTTCAAGAAAACTCCCACTTACCCGTCCAGCCCTTCTCTCTCTCCCATGTCTGCAAGGGCAAAGCTGTGTCTGGCTGCCTGGCAGAGTAAGTGGAAATATAATTGTCCCTCTCTGAGGCTGGTCTGTGCTAACTCAGTGCTGTCTCTCAGCCCCTGGACCCGTGCATGGCTCTCAGCTTGTCTCTAAAGGTTTGTTGACCATGTAGGTTATGGGCCTGGGCAGGGAAGCATGATGCACACTTTAGCCATCTGACTTCTCCCTCTTGCTGAAAATAAGCTCATGGAGTTGGCCCTGGGGCTGGCATGCCACCTCTGCCCCTGGTCAGCTCTGGTGGCATCATTCTAAAATATATAGGCACATAACTACTTGGGAAAACAGTTTGGAATTACCTAGTAAAGTTGATCAAGTGTATACCTGATGACACAGAAATGCCATTCCTGGGAATGTAACTGGAGAAACTGTAGTTCCTATAAACCAGAAGACACATGCTGAATGTTTTAGAGTAGCCCCAAACTGGTAACAACCCAAATGTCCAACACTAGAATGGATAATTAAATTGTAATATTTTCACACAATGGAATACTATACAAGAAAAAAATTGACCAAATTACAGCTCTACTCATTAACATGAATGAATCTTTAAAAACAATGATGAGCCAAAGAAGGAAGACATAGAAGAATGTATTTAGTATGACTCCAATTGTAGAAAGTTAAAAAACAAACAATCTAAACAATATTGCTTAGGGATACACACAGAGGCAGGAAACCATAAAGAAAAGTGAGGAGAGGACTGTCATGAAATTCAGGATGGTGGGTCCTCTGGGGAGACTGTGTCAGGGATGGGCACACAGGCTTCTAAGATCCTTGGAATGTTCTCTTCGTGTGCTGGGTGCACAGGAATCTGTTTTATTATTGTCTTTACACTGCATATATGCATGTTACACGCTCTTCCGTATATACCATACATTTTACACAAGAAAAAAAAAGGATGATGTGTGCCCCGATTCTGCCCCCTTACTCCATCCAATCCCCATTCTTGTCCTCAGCTGGCAGAGGAGGGGTCAGGGTCCCTCATCACAGTTCCTTACTATTTCTGAGTGGGTCAGAGGAATCCGGGGGTGAGGGCCTCCCCTCTGCAGCTGGGCCCTGGCTCCTCCAGGGTGAGAAGGCCTGGAAAGAGCTGGGCCAGGCCAGGCCGGCTGGCTCTGCTGTTTCTGCCAACTCTGGGGATTAGGCCAGGGATTGGCCCACCTGTTGTTTCACTCATTCAGCATGAACATAGCCACGGAACACTTACTATGAGCACTGGGTGCTGCTGGGAGGGTTCAATTAAGTGAGAAATGGTCTTCAACCTCAGAGATCTTACAGTATACTCAGAGGTAATCGCATACACAAATAACTATGGTACCAGCAAAATGTGAGCTAAGGGTCACATGACTACCCTTCTCTTTCAATAAACATTTGTGGAGCACCTATTACGTGCCAGGAACCAGGCTGGATGGTGAGCACATGATGGCAGCTAAATCACAATCCTGGCCCTTTAGTCCTTAGCCTAATGCAGGGGAAACAGACACACGAGAAAATTACAAGAGCGGGGCAAGCCCACTGATGAGCTACGCGGAGGGAGAAGCAGGACGGGGCCCCACTCAGGATGGGTGAGATGGGGACGGGCTAGAGAAGGGAGGTCTTCCTGAAGCCTTTAGGGATGAGGAAGCAAGAGCAAGGCGAAGGGCTAGAAGGACATCCTCCACAGAGGGACCAGCTGGGGCAAAGGCACAGGGGTAAGAAACAGCGCCGCTTGTGAAGACTATTTACCACGGAGTACAAGTGCTCAGCTGGGATGGGGAGAGAAGCAGCCAAGGGGAAGGTGGAGGCCTTCCTTGGTTTTGCCTTGCAAAACCTTAGATCTTATAGGTGTTGGGAGCCACTGAAGGATTTAGGGGGAGCTTGATAGTTCACTATGGCTTACTATAGAAGAAGGGTTGAGGGGCATGGATTGGAGGAAGGCAGGCAAGTTGTCAGGTTGTTGTGGATCCAAGAAATATTTAGACGAGCTAGCTCTGTCTGAGAATGGGTGGGTGCTGTGTGTAGGAGAGGCCAGCTTCATGAACAGCTCCCTGTTCATGAAGAGAGACCAGGTCCAGCACACAGGGAGGGGAGAGCTCCCACAGGAACTAGTGTGGCTCTGGGCTCTGGGTACTGAGGAGCACTAAGTGTGGGCAGAGGCAGGGGACAGCCAGGAATGTGGTTGGGACTCTGCACCATCTGATCTCAGGGTTCCCAAATGCAGGCCTGTGGGCAGGACTGGCCTTAGGAAGTGAGGAAAATGTGGGCATGTAATGAGCTTCTTATAAATCAAATGTATGCACTTGAAAGAACTATCTCTAGAAGTGCCTGCAATTCAATCAGTGAGTACGCATATCACTTTGAGGCATGAAGCGAATTACCAAGAGAAGTCTCCTAAAGCTTCAAAAGTGGTTTCATCCTGGGAGGGGTGGGGAGGATGGGGAGGCTTTTTTTTCAAATAAGCCTTTTAAACTATATTTTAAAACCCATGAACATAAAACATATACAAAATATTAAAAATAAAAAAACACTGGCCTTTGTTCTGAGTTTGCACCCTTCTCACTTTTTTTAATTGCCAAAAGTGGCCTTTCTTGTATGACATGATACAAGATAGAGGACAGCTGGCTTTTCTTTTCTTTAATGTCCTCATTTGGCAAAACAAAACGTCGTTGAGCCTTCTGCATCCTGAAAGCCTACAATGGAAGCCGCCAGATCCGAGAACCGGGCAAACACCCGAGAGCGGCGGGCTTTGCGCGCCTGCGACCCCGCGGCCGGCCGGCAGGGGTCAGGCGAGCTCCACGCAGGGCCCGAGGAGCCGCGCCCGAGCCCGAGCCGGAGCCTGCGAGCCCGAGCAGCGCTCCGCGGCGCGCGGTACCTCGCGGAAGGGGGTCAGAGAGGACCCTGGCCTTGACCTAGGCTAGGGGTCGCGACTAACGGCCCCCTGGGTCGTGGGTCCCGCTCCGCCGGGCGGGGCGTGGGCTGGGAGCCTGCCCCCAAATCAAGACAAGGTGCCCGGCCCCTGCCCCCATGCCGCGTTGACACCAGCTCTGGCTCCACCCGGCTTCCGGGCGTGGCTGGTTCACCGGCCGTTTGTTCGGATACGCTTGGTCAGCTCACCTTAGCGGTCTTCTGGAAGGAGGCCCTGCGCAATGTAGTCTCTTGCACGCAGTTGTTGCTAAGATCAAGGAACTAATATGTCAAAACCAGACTTGAGAGGGCTATATAGGTAAGAGATTGTCATTATTAGATTACATGCGTTTAGAATTAGGACTCAGGCCTCTGGGGAAGTATCCTCTAGGCCCCAGATCAGTTCTAAAAGGTTGCCTGTGCCTCAGAATTACCCCTGGAGATGTGATTAGGGGCCGTTCTCCGAACGTGCATTTTTTACAGGTTGCCAAATTCTGATAAAGGGTGTGCCCAGACCACACTTGGAGAACCATTCCCTTAGCTTCTGTTGCTATCCCACAGAGCAAGCAGTAGGAAAACAAAGAATGGGATGGTAGTCAAAGAGGGAGCCAGACGTAGTGTGACCTGCCTAAAATTGGAGTGGAATTAGAGGCAGCCCCAGGAAGGAGCAGTGCTGGTGGCTGGTGCCATAGCATTGCACAGTGCACATCGACAACCAAGAACCCACAAGAACCAAAGTGGAAGTGACCCCCTCTCCTGCTCTCCCATTCACGATTCAGACTACACTTTTTGGCTTTATTTTTAAACATTTCTCTTCTATTTCACATATAACATCAGGGAGACAATCACATTCTCCCCAAGTTGGTGGCAGGGCTCTGTAACCAGACTGACTGGATGAAACATTCCATTTGGTCACATTCTGAACGTCTCCAGGCTGGTTGGTCCACCCACACTTTAAACCCAGCAAGACCACCATTTCAGCCACATTTAGCTCCAACACAGCAGGGGGCGGGGTGGGGAAGTGAAGGGACAGTGCCACAAGCCCTGGGTCTTCCCCTCAGCATGGACCTGGGCTGGGTTGGTAAGGCATGCACTCCACCTATCTCAAGCATCAAACTGGGAACAGCACTTGGCTACAGGCCAGGACCAAAAGTTGGAACAGGAGCCACTGGGCTGAGAGCCAAGAAAGCCAGTTCTCTTTTAGGGAACTTGTATGGGGTAGAACCCAAACCTGTTCCGCTCTGATCATGCTCCGTCCAGGTGGCCGTGCAGTGAGGCCCCAGGCTGGCATTCTCAGAACCCCCATTTCTACTGATCTGGATTCTAGCTCCAGTTCTGACCTTGGGACAATCAGATGGTCTTATCTTTTAAAAAACATGGGGATGGTTTCCAGAAATTTATGAGCTTCCTTCTAGCTCCAAGACTCTTACCACTCTGGACTCCCTCCTTCCTTTAAAAATCACTGGGAGATCTGGGAAAGGGAGGCTGAGACTTCCTCTATCCTAGGGACTGATTCCATCCCCTTGTCCCCCATCACTGATGAGCAGGCTGGAGGGCAGGAGCAGGACCTGGACCAGCCACTCTCTAAGGACATGGGGCTGGAGCCAGATGGGAGGCAGTAGCAAGTAGACTGCTCTTCCCCAAAAACACCAGTTTAGAAGCAGATGGGTTTGCCTCATAATATGTTTAATACAAAATGGCAGCAGCCGCTGTGCAGCTGTAACAAAATCAGCCATAGGGTGTCTAGAGAAATGTATGCAGCCTTGGCTGGAGTTGAGCCAGCCAACCCAGGCCTGCTGCCTAGTCAGCCGTGGGCTGTCACATGGCCAGGACTAGATGGTGGCAGTGACAGAGCAGTGCCAAAGGGCTCAGAGGTGCTGCCACGGAGGCCAGTGTTGAGCCGATCTTTCTCAAGCACGCTGACCTCTACCCCACTGTGGACTCTGGGCGGCACAGGTGTTCTGAGATGCCTGTTCCCAGAGCTCCACCCCAACATGGTGGGATTTCAGCCCTAAAGAATGAAGCCCTGGAAAGATGGAGAGGCTGCTGCAGAGTGGGTGCCTGCTCATGAGCTGCTGGGAGCTGCTGCCTTTAGAAATTGGAAGAAATAGAGGCTAGGTTTGGGGTTTTTTTTTTTTCCCAGAAAGAAAAGAGGCTACCAAGTTCGAATAAATGGAGAGGGGCAATGCTTCTGATGTACTGGAGCAGAGGAGTCCCTGCCAGAGATCACCCAAGAAAAAGGGGTGGCCACCTGCCTGCCCCAAGGTGCCCACCCTGGGAGGTGGGGGCGTCAGCCTTGGAAGTTAGAGAGCAAGGACACAGAGTCACTAATGCCCTCCCACTAAGCCCCAGAAAAGCCAGTATGCTTCCTGCTGAGTCCATATTAAGCCACTGAATGCTTTTCCTGAGCTGGCTGGCTGGCCTGGCTCTGAGGCCCACGGGACTTGGCAGCCATTGTGGAGAACTCAACCTCATGCAGAGGCCAGGGCACTGACGCAAGAAGGGCAGCTGAACAGCCAGGACTGCCTTGGGCCAGGGGAGAGCTGTCACGTCTCTATTTCCAAAGAAAGGCCTCTAGGTGCTGGGAAAGTGGGTGACAGGTCTTGGGGCTACTGGAAATCTGCGTTGAAGGCTCTGCCAATGACCAGCCGCCTCACCTCACTGGTCCCAGCCCCAATCTCATACAGCTTGGCATCTCGCAGAAAGCGGCCCATGGGAAAGTCGTTGATGTAGCCGTTGCCACCTGCAGCCAGGGTTTGGGCAGAGGGAAAACAACAGGAACAGTGATGGGCAAAGCAAGGAAAGCAAACAGAAGGCCAAGTAGATAGAAACTGGCGGGGGGGCGCGGGGGGCTAGTCAAAGAGAAGCAGCAGCAGGTGGGAGGGGGAGGGTGTGAGGAATACCTGGCTGGGGGTAGGGTGGGCAAGGGGCTGGAAGGCCACCCAGAGTGCTGAGGATACCAGGCCAAATTGGAGAAAACCACCAGCAGACATGGAGAAGGGGGGACAAGAAAATACTGCAGAGCACTTACTGGGTGTCAGGCCCAGTGGTTAAGTCATTGCACAAGTCACAAAGCCGGTCAGTGGTAGAGCCAGGATTCAAACTTAGTCTGTGTTCTTAACTACTGTGCAGCCTTGAAATGAAGCTGTCCCCCCTCTGAGGTATCTCTCTTTCCTCGTTTCCCAGTGTCTACAGGACCAGGCGGGGAGGCTGAGAGGGGGGCACTGCTGACAGAAGTAGCAACTTGTGGCCTCTAGCCATTTTCTCATTTGCTATTCCATGTCCTCCTGGGGCAGAGGGAGCCTAACGTGCCAGCTCAGCGGCAGCCAGCTGAAGCCCAGGGTAAGGAGTGAAGAGGAAACCTCTTTCTGGAGGCAGCCGCGGGCTGCGGAAGCAAGGGCAGCCTGGGTGTGGGCAGTGGGGGCTGCTCACCGAAACACTGAATGCCGTCCAGGGCGACCTGTGTGGCGCACTCGGCTGAGTAAAGAATCACAGCCGCGCAGTCCTGCGGGAGGAGGCTTCGGGTCAGCCGGGGCCACGCAGAGAGCCAGTCCCAGCCTCTGGCCCGCTGCCCCGCCCTCTCTCCTGGGGGGCTGGCCCTTACCTTGGAGGTGCAGTGGCCCTCATCACAGGCCTTGGCAACATTGTAGACGTACTGCCGACACGCCATGAGGCGCGTGTACATGTCCGCCATCTTCCCCTGCATCAGCTGGGCACAAAGGGAGGTCACAGGTCAACACGCTGGAGCCACGTTCCCCTCAGACATTCTCCCTAGTTACCAAAAGCAGGTCAGCAGTAGCACCCTGACCGCCAGGAATGGGGACGCCAGGGCACAGAGAGGAGAAAGGACTTGCCTATGATGACAGAAGTGGCAGTGTGTCTGGAGTTAATGCCAGAGAGCTGCCATTGCACCATGGACACTGCCCCTTAAACAGCTCTCATTAACGTCCTGCAGTGACTTCAGCCCAGAAAGTGTGACTAGAAAGGCCGCTCCCTTTCCCCAGCCCTCCCCACAGCCCGTACGTTTCACCCTCCACCCTCACAATGCCTCGTTCACTCATCTCAAACTGGAAGTGAGGTGACATGTGATGAACTTCCCGACAACTTCCAAAGCCAGGGAGCATGCTGAAGAAGCCTGCATTCCAAGCGTTCAGACTCATCTTGCTGGTGGAGGGTAGTAAATGCCCCACAGCATATGCCCTGTTTACTCATTTGTTAAACAAACTTGAACCCAATCAAGGAGGACATTTCAACAAAAGTGGTCCACCCACCTGGAAGTGGCCGATCTTCTGGCCAAAGGCTTCCCTCATGTGCAGGTAGGGAATGGTGTGGTCAAGGACGGCCTGCATGAGCCTGCCGGAGAGGAGAAAGCCACTGGGGAGGTGCCTCACTGTCTCCCTACTGTCAGGTGGGGTGGCAAAATGCCAGCATGAAAAGGCCTGGGGGACAGCTCAGCGAGACAAGGAGCTGGAGTCCCAAGGAGGAGTAAAGGAGCATGACTCTTGTCGCCCCTGCTCAGTCACTGCACTGACTGCCCAGGACTTGTGCCCCTTCCTCCACGACCAGACAGAGCGGCAGGACCCCTGCGTAGAAGGGCCTTAGAGCCTGGGCCATCCTGTTTCACCTCCTGAGTAACTAAGCAGTATTGCTTCTCAAGCCTTCTGCCAGTCACCTAATGACATTTCTCTTCAGTGTGAAGAAATTATGTGTGGGAGAAGGTTCATTTTATTTCAGGAGAGAAGGTTCACTGGCCAGGAGGCAGCTCCCACTGACCCCCAAGGGGAAGGCTGCAGTGGCCCCACCTGCCAAGGAGGCCAAAAGCCCAGCTCCCCCCTGAGTCACACTCACCCGAGGGGCCCACCAGCCAGCACCAGCCGCTCCAGGTCCAGCCCACTCATCAGCACATAGACGCCCTTACTGGGATGGCCCAGGATGTTGGTAGCTGCCAGGAAGAGTGCCCGTCAGAGGGAAGAGGGCTGTCCACAGCCTCCTCACTTTTAGCAAAGCTACTAGGTTTGGTACTGTGGCTCTCACACAAGGCACTGAAATATGTCAGCTGACCTTCATATTCCGGGTGAGACAAAAGGAAGGAGTTTACCACTTCCAGTCAGAAGTAGAGCTTGCTAGAAGAACCCCCCAGCCCCCTGCACACACACCATCCACAAGACCAGAAACAAAGGCTTGATACTTAGATCTTCCCCTTCCCTTCCTGTTTGACTGCCTTGGATGGGAAAGAAGAAAAGCTAATTTGGTCTAGAAGTCATCCAATTCTTCCCTGTGCCCATAAAGGAACCAGAGAATTACTCTTTCCCCCAGTCTGAGTCCGCTCTGGTCCAATATCACTACCCGCCCCTGCCCTGGGTGGTCCATTGAAGAGTCTTTGTCCAGGAGGTGGGCCATTCAGTGTTAGTGACAGAAACTGCGGAGCACCTCTCCACCCAGGAAGCCAGGACACTGGATGGCCTTGGGAGAGGAGAGCAGGAAACTGAGTACAAAGAGTTGACACCACTGACCTGCCTGTAATGATGGCGGAGTTTTTTCCTGATGACAAAGAAGGATCTGCACTGACACCCTCCCTAGATGCTCCTTGTAATCAAGGCACACTTTTCTTGGGTGGCAAATCACGGAGGAGAGGAATGCTCTAAGGCTGAGGTGCAGAGCAAACCTAGTTGATGATCAAATCTATGCCCTCGGTCTCATTAGCACACGGCGGTGCGCTGGCTCTCCATGATGTGTCACATTTTCAATTCTACTTCAGGGGAGAAAACACTCCAACTGAATTGCCTTCCCTTTACTAAGTCTAGCTTCATCAGTTTATTCCATGGTTTTTTAGCATCATTAATGAATACTTCACTCAGGCTGTACAGGGAAATGTACAAATGAGGAAGTCTGAAGGACATTAGTGGGTGAGGGCGGATCTTACCTTTCTCCTCCAGATCCTGGAATATTAGCTCCAGGCACAGTGTATTATCCACACAGGAAACACCACCCTCATCGCAGCCACAGTCAGGCATACAGCTGCAGGGCTCTGCCCAGCAGCCTGAGTCCCACATGTACGGGCCAGCGGGCAAGTGGCAGGCCCACTGTCTAGCCACATGTCACTGGTAAGCTAACAATGGTGAGCCCCTCTAACCCAGAGATGGGCTTTCTCAGCTTGTGAAGGGGTCAGGACAGGGGCTCGCCCATCCTTAGAGACTCACCAGGAACCTTGCAGTCTTCAAAGATCAGCTCACAGGTGTTAGAGCCTCTCATCCCCAGCTTGTCCAGCTTCTTGGAGGTGCTGAAGCCAGGCATATCCTTTACAGGAACAAAAGGTGGTTCTGATTACAGACCAGCCCCCAAGGGGCTCTACAGAAAGGAAGGTCCCTGGGAAATGCCCATTTTCTTAACAAGTCCCTATACTTGCGCGGCACACCGGCGCCCTACTCCCAGGGGCCCCGCTCTGTATGCAACTGCTCCACTCCCGGAAGCGCCAGCCCTAATAGCCCACCCTGACCCCAGCCTCCTCTGCTGCAAGCTTGCGTCCTCTGCACTTCTCACCCGAGCAGTTCTTTCTCAATGAAACCCCGATTCCTGGGGCCCTACTGACTCTTCCTGGCTTTGTTTCCTTTCTTCGGGGAAAATCACTTCCAAGACATCCTCACCTGCACACTCAGTTCCTTTGCTCCCTTGTTCCTCTGCCATCTGTACCTAATTGAGTCCCACCTGGGGTCAATTCCACCACCTTCGTGCTTTGACCTGACTCGTCAGATGCAGCATGCGTTGGCTGGTGCCCAGCAAAGCAATAACGCATGTTGCTCCCCTCTCCTCCAAGCTGATGAGTGGCGTTACACAACCTTGAGATTTCCAACCTCAGCCAGGCCCTTCGGGCTACTCACTTTTCTCACCCTCCAATGCTAATCAGCTACTCTCCCCCTCTCCCTCTGGAGGGTATTGCAAACCTTTATGACACTCATTCATAAAACTCTCCACCAGCTCCCGAACTCCCGTGGTCCCTGGCCCCCTCCTCACCGTCATGAGGCAGGTGGTTCCTCTACCATCACCTGTAACCCAGCCTTACCTCTTCTCCCTCAGCTCACCATTGTGTTTTGCTTACTTGCACACATCTCAATTTCTCCCTCTTATTTTCCTTCCTCTTTACCAAAAAATTTGCTCAGTTCTCTCCCATTCTTAGAAACAGACTCAGACTCCCAACTTCTCATTCTAACTCCTGCTCTCTCCCTCCTGCTTTTAGTGTCAAGATTTGGAAGGTGCAGTCTTCCTTCAGTCTCCACTTGCATTCCTACTCACACCTCAGTCTGCCGCAGCTGCTCTCACCACAACCACCAGTGACGTCCTGATTGTCAAATCCAGTTGCCTCCTTTCAGTCCTCACCTGCCTGGACCTCTTAGTGTGGCCTGGTTCCACAGTCCTCAGACTTGACCCATCATCCCTGGCCTCCACTTTTTGGCCACCCTCCTTCCAGTCTGCTCTTCTGCCTTCCTCTGTGCACTTTGCTCCACTCACCTTCTCCACAATGAAGGCCGTGATGCCCCGAGAAGCTGGCACAGCGGCCAGATCCGTCTTGGCATAGACAATAAGGATGTCAGCATCGGGGCCATTGGTGATCCAGAACTTGTTGCCATTCAGGATGTAGTGATCTCCTAAGAACAGGAGGTTGGCTATTTGCTGAAGCCGTGTTGGCCTATCTCAGCCAGTCAGTCCATAGACCTGCTGCTGAGCAAGAAGCTTCTCAGCTGGGAAACAGTTCTGGAAACCCAGCTGAGGCCACCCCCGATTATTGCTCCCTCACCCTGAGAAGGTCTGTTCCTCTGTCCATTTCAGCTCTCAAGTCAAGAGGAGCCTCACCTTTTTTTTCTGCTTTTAGCTTCATGGAGACAACATCAGAGCCAGCATTGGATTCACTCATGGCCAGGGCTCCGATGTACTCACCGCTGATCAGCTGCAAGGAAAACCCCGAAGGGCCTGGTTATGACCTCAGAAGTGCCCTACAGGAGCTCCCTGATACTGCATCTTGCCTGTTCACATGACACCTCTTCAAACTGCTCTCTCAGACCAGGGTATTGGTAAAGTCCTGGAAGAGAAGCCCAATATCTACAAGACTGAAAACATCTCTTCCTTTGCCATTCTCTTTGCAAGGAAGCAAGCCCTAGTCTTCCGTTTCTTAAAGTACTCTGCAAATGTTGTCCATTTGCAACTCAGGAGTTCCGGCCCTATTTTTAACTTTTTTGACTGAAATATTTTAAAGCAAATCCCTGACTCCTTCCTAACCATATCTGGTTCAGGGCAGCATGCTATGGTAAGCAAGTCTGACCAGCCCTCGCCAACACGGGAGGGTGCCTCATGGTTGGTGGTTGCACCACGAGATTGGCGTGTGTTTTTCCATTCTCATCCTCACCTTGGGGAGGTACTTCTCCTTCTGGGCCTCATTTCCATTGCGCACAATTTGGTTGAGGCAGAGGTTGGAGTGGGTCCCGTAACTGAGTCCCACTGCTCCAGAAGCTCGGGATATCTCCTCCATCACCAGTACATGTTCCAGGTAGCCCAGGCCGGAGCCGCCATACTGAACTGGGAGTGGAGGTGGTGCAGGGGAGTGGAAAAGACAGCACGCATTAAATTAGGCCATTGACAGCTATCTTGTCTTTACTAGCAGCAGAGGAACACCCTTGGAGCACTTATTCCAAGTTCCCTTTAACAAGCCCAACAGACTGATGCCGTGGACTCTGCTTACAAGCTAACAGAACTGGTTTTGTCTGCTCCTTCAAGTCAGCTGAGATGTGGTTCAGAAAACAGTCATTGCAACTCCTGTTTTATCCCAGATAGACCTCTTGATGAAGACAAGAGAATCTGAACACCCACTATTCGGAAAGCTACAGAAATGCAGAGGCAGATGAATAACTGAAGAAAGAGGACCTGGAGTTTAACCGAGAAACCCAAAGAGGGAGGGAGGGTCAAAGCACTAAGAACAGATAAAGAGCAGAGGAAGTGTGTCCAAAAGGCCTGAGGAGCCATAAGAAAAGACAAAATCTTTTTGTCCCATTTGTAACAACATGGAAGGACTTTGAGGGTATTATATTAAGTGAAATAAGCCAGACAGAGAAAGACAAACACCACATGACTTCACTCGTATGTGGAAGATAAACATGTGTATAAAGAGAACAGATTAGTGGTTACCGGAGAGGAAGGGGGTTGGGTGAAAGAGGGTAAGGGGCACATATATATGTTGATGGATAAAAATTAGACTATTGGTGGTAAGCACGATGCAGTCTATACAGAAACTGATAAATACTAATGTACACCTGAAATTACACAATGTTATAAACCATTATGACCTCAATAAAATAACTGAAAAAAAAAATGCGTGAGGAAGGTGAGATTTTCATGGCATAGGTTTGGATCTAAAGAAGCAGGACTATCAAATCAACACAGTGTTTAACTGTGTTGGTTAAAGTTTAACCTTTAACTCACACAATGTTATATGTTAATTATATCTCAATTTAAAAAGTAAAAAAAAAAGCTGAACTAGTAACAGGAGACAGGAGAGCTCCATCCTGAGATAAAATCTAGTGGGCAGTGCAGCAGCGGGCAGAAGAGATGCTGGTAGGAAATCTCAGAACTTCTCATAAAAAAATGTGGCTTTTACTTAGCAGCAGATCCAAAATCAAAGCGGCTGGGTCACCTGGTACCGCCCCACTGTCCTGCTGTTTGGGTAAACCCTAGCAAGACCCTCTGCACACATTTACTCTGATCAAGAAATCAGGCTCATCCTAGGCTCTAGGGAAAGGTTGGCTCCACCCCTGCAACTCTGGGAAGGAATGCCCATAGGCCTGTGACATTGGAAACAGCCACCAGGACAACCATGGGGAAACCAGAACTCATATCTGGTTTTCTTTTCAAGGTTCCCCCTTGAAACGTTTTTCATCTGATTTCTGCCTCTTTCTTCCACGAAATGCCATCTGATTCAGAAGCATATTCTCTCTGGGGGCTCATAAACACCCAAGACACAGTGGAAGAAAGAGTCTTGTTTGGGAGTTCCCAGTGGCCTATCCCCCTACCATTTTACATTAAGAAGGTCTAAATTAATTTTTACGTGGTTTCATTTTATCATTACTCATGATGTAACTTTCTATGATCAGCTCAAATCCCAGGAACTGTCTCCAAGTGGTGAAGGGGAAGATGTGAGGAGAAGTATACTGTATTCCACCTCTGTGCCAATGCCCACCGAATACAAGCTGAAGCATGGTGGGCCGTCCAGGCTTTGGCTGGTGAAGACACAGACTCATCTCTTTACTGGGCACTGCAAGCCAGGCTGGGCCTCTCCTTCAGAGGCCAACACCCAAACCAGAGCCCACCAGCTCCCTGTCCTCCTCCTAGAAACAAGTAGTAAGACCCAGAGGGGACACTGAGCAGGCCGAGGGAGAGCCTATTAAACACATCTGCCTCACGTGGAGGGTCAGACAGGTATCCCTCTCCTCACTCCGCCATCTGCTCCCAAATGAGCTCCAGGGCCAAGCCATGGCAGAGGGCACAGGCAGTCCCCATAAGGACACACTTGTCCTGAGTAGTCCTGCCTAGATGCTACTGGTAGGGAAGAGCTTAGAGATTAGGGGAGACAGTAAGACGAGGTACAAAGACAGCTGCATGATGTGGAGAGTCTTCTAAACTCTCAAAATCACCTGGAGGAGCTTACTAAGCATGCAGAGTCTGGGTGATCATGATCCAAGAGAAACACATGGCCTAATCCCTTTGGCTTCTCGTGATCCCTGCCTAAAGAAACAGAAGAATGTACTCTTCTCTGGGCTGACAGTCAATGGGTGCTTTCTCATGTCCAGGAGGGAGGAAGTTCTGAGTCTCTTTGAGCACCAGCTTTCCCCTCCTTTCCTGCTTCTTTTGGGAATGGAGTTAAAGGGCATGCAAGAAAAGTTCTCTTTAGGGAAAGAAACTATACTCACCAGGGGCCGTGATGCCCAAGACTCCCAAGTTCCCCAGCTGCTTCCAAAACTCCTGCCAACAGAATGGGGTGAGTGCAGTGAGCTGTGAGAAGAAGGCAGCCAGTCACAGGAACCTGGCACATCTGGAGCAACGAGAGCCACATGCTTCACAGAAAGGAGCTGCATTCTCAGGGAGGTTTCATTTACCAGAAGACTGTGAGAGCCCTTCCAGGCAGCAGCAGCACAACTCCCAGCCCAGCTCCCAGACTGTCCCCCTGTCCCCCCAGTGTGGGCTTCATGACTCACGCGAAGGTTCTTGAACTCGTTGCTGTGATCAATCTCCTGGGCATGGGGGGCTAGGTGATCCTGAAGGAACTTAGCCACGGTCTGCCGGAGCTAGAGGGAGAAGTGGACAGATGCCGCTAAAACAGTACGTTGCTGCCACTAGGACAGCGTCTTCACTACTGAGTACACACTTGGAAACAGGCCACAAGGACCTCACCAAGCATCAGACTGAAACTTAGAGGCCCCACTAGTTTATGCTTCCTTAGAGATGATCCTCACCACTCTTTTTTTTTTCTATTTTTTTTTTGGTGAGGAGATCAGCCCTGTGCTAACATCTGCCAAACCTTTTTTTTTTCCCGCTGAGGAAGACTGGCCCTGGGCTAACATCGGTGCCCATCTTCCTCCACTTTATATGGCACACTGCCACAGCATGGCTTGGCAATTGGTGTGTCTGTGCGGGCCCGGGATCCAAACCGGCGAACCCCGGGGCCTCCGCAGCAGAGAGCGCGCACTTAACCGCCTGCACCACCCGGCCGGCCCCCTCACCACTCTTTCTTAAGGTCCTCAGGCTAAAGCTTGACGATTATTTTTTAAATGTCATTCCCTTACATAAAATCATTCCATGGCTTTCTATTGTACTTGGAAGACAAGCTCCTTACCCAGGCCTAGAAGGCCCTGCAGGAGCTGACCCCTGCTGACCCTTCCAGTCTTCCCCAGTACCTTTCTCGCCCCCACTCGCTGTGCTGTGGCCACGCCCCCTTCAGTTATGGCAAGCGTCAGGCTCTTTTTGCCCCAGACCCTTTGGCGGAACAGGATTACTCAAACTCCTGGCAGGAAACTTTGAGAACTAGGATTGAACCCTTTCTGATTGGGGCAATTCAAAGGTCTGTCTGCTGACTATAAACCCAAATGAGCTCTGGAGTTCCGGAAGCTCAGGCAGTTGCTTGGAGCCACAGGAGAATCCTGTTTCCGGGGAAAGGTTCCAGGAAGGCTCCGGTTCAGGTCCATTTGTAACATCTTTTAAGTTTTTGTTAACTTTGTGCTTTGACCCAGTGAGTCGAAGAATTAAAGCAGACTACACGGTGCATTTCAAAACCCTGGAGGTTATGTATTCGAAAAAGATTCCCTGGTGATGATTAACCAGCTTTTTTTTTTTTTTTGTGAGGAAGATCAGCCCTGAGCTAACATCTGTGCTAATCCTCCTCTTTTTGCTAAGGAAGACAGGCTCTGAGCTAACATCTATTGCCAATCCTCCTCCTTTTTTTCCCCCAAAGCCCCTCCTTTTTTTCCCCCAAAGCCCCAGTGGATAGTTGTATGTCATAGTTGCACATCCTTCTAGTTGCTGTACGTAGGACGCGGCCTCAGCATGGCCGGAGCAGCAGTGCGTCGGTGGGCGCCCAGGATCCGAACCCGGGCCGCCAGTAGCGGAGCGCTGCACTTAACCGCTAAGCCACTGGCCAGCCCAACCAGTTTTGAGTATCATGGCCGTAGTCAGCGCTCAGGTGTAAGCCAGCTTCAGACAGATTGAGGGCCATGTTGCCGTATGCGAGTGGCCCCTGCCAATCCTCCACCAAAACACCATCGGTCTCCCAGGCGCTCTCCTGTCTTGGATTCCTCCTCATCTAACTTTGGCAGCCGGGCCTTGCTGTCTCCGCAGAGCTGAGGCTGAGGCTGAGGCCCGCGCGCACACGTCACGGGTGCGGGGCAGCGGAGCGCCGAGCCGACCGCCGAGCAGCGCGATAGGCCGGGGCCAGGGGGCCTTGGGGCCGGGAGGGGGTCAGGCTCCCTACCTGCTTCTGCTCCTCGCTTAGCCCGTTGATCGCATCGTCCACGGGCAACAGCGAGTGGGCCCGCTGGGAAACGACGCCGGCGAGCGGCGGCAGCGGCGGCCGCAGCCTCCAGCTCACCACACGCCGCCGCAGGAGCCGAGCCGCAGTCGCCATCTCTGCCTTGCACCGGGAGCGGGAGCGGCAGTGGCGCAAAGTCGGCGAGGGGGTGCGTCTTCAGCAGCCTATCACCATCCGCTGACCCTGGAATGCCGCGCTGCCTTTGGCCACGACACGAGCCAATCAGCGGTGACCGCCCGTTGGCAGACACCCCCGCGGGATTGATGTGCGCGCCCGGGGGCGGGACTCGGAGGCGGCATTCCTAGGTTGGGTTTATTTTAAGTGGAAGAGGAAGAAAAGTGTCTTCCCTTTCTGAGTCGAAGATATATCATCTTCCCTTCCCTGAAATAGCAGTTGCAGAAGTCTATCTCTGTGGGAAAGCAAGTATTACCACAGCGAACGGAAAACTCCCCAAACGCTTAGGGTTTGGGAATAAACTGGTAAAGCAATCTGGGATAGCTAAGATTGGGAAATAGCGCTCGCTCTAGTGTGCACACTGATTACAACTCAGTAAAATTTGCTTTCTTATGTAACAGTGTTTGTTGATTTTGATTTGCGTTTTATGAGAGAGAGGTGGTTAAGGAGTTGCTGTTTTCCAAATTATTTAATGTACAGTAAGAACAGCAGTCGGGACTTTTTTTTTTTTTTTTTCTAACGGGGGTGGGGTAGAGAGACAGGAAAGGAAGAGGGGTGTGTGAGGGAAAAGAGAAGAGCTGTTGAAATTCAGCCCCTATCCCCTTCCCCTCTTCGCTATTTTCCTCCTCCTCTGTGGTGGGCCAATGACCTTGAACAGTTCATCTCAGGGAGTTCAGCCTGGAGTCCAGGAACCGAGCTTTGCAGTCCCGCTACCTAGCTGTGGGACTTTGGGCAAGCTTCTTGGATCTTTTCAGTCTCTACCTCGTCATCTATAAAGTGAAAACAGTACCACCCACCGCAAGGCTGTTAGAAAGACTAAGGGAGATTGCATTTTAACGACAATACTTTTTTGTTCTTTCTTAAGCACCTTATTAGTCCAAGGTCTCAAGCACAGCTAAGACAAAAGCCGGGTTCTGTAAGCTTCTCCAGACGGAAATGCTGTCTTCTTCACCTCACTACCTCTCATATCGTGGGTCTCCTTTAGGTGGAGAAGAGATTTCCCCTCTAAACCTCAGACAAGGTTTCTCCCTTTAGACCCCAAGCAGGGTCTTGGCTCCCACCTCCCCTGTTTTCAAGGGCCACAGCTCAGCCAGGAGTAGAATGTCTCTCCCCAAGACCCCAAAGTCACCACCCAGGAGAGCTCAACACAGTGACAGCCAAGAGGCCAAACTTCAAGGAGGGAGGGAATAGTGTCCTCAGCTACTTAAAGGCCAAAATGAAGACTGAAAAAGTCCCATGGATTTATCCACAGGCAAGTCATTGGTGACCATAGTGAGAACTGTTTTGGTGGAGTAATAAGAAGCCAGATTATCCATAGGTGAAAGAAGAAATCACAATGGAAATTAGAAAATATTTTGAACAGAAGGATAAATAATGGAAATATGACACAGCAAAACTTGTGGGATGCAGCTCTCTGGCCTTAGAGGGAAATTTATAATTGTCAATGCATATACAGGAAAAGAGAAAAATTGAAATGATCTACTCTTCCATTTTAAGAAACTAGAAAAACAACAGTAAGTTAAAACCTCAATTATAGATGGAAATGAATAATAAATATAAAAGTAGAAATTAGGAAATAGGCAGCAGATGTACAATAGAGAAAATCAACAAAATTGATACTAACAAGACTCATGAAGAAAAAAAGAGAAACTGCAAATTACTGGTATCAAAAATGAAAAAGAGGACAGCCTTCAGATCCTATGGATACGAAAAAGATAATAGGATATTTTGAGCAATTCATGCCAATACATTTGACCATGATGAAATGGACAAATCCATTTATATGAAGTTCAAGAAAAGACAATACTCATAGATAGTGATCTCCTGTCAGAATAGTGCTTGTCTCTGGAGGAGGGCAGTAATATATTGACCTGTACACTTAAGGTTTGTGTACTTTGTTAAGCCTCAAAATATTTTATTTAAAAAATTGTAGGGGCTGGGCCAGCCCCATGGCTTAGCGGTTAAGCGCGCACGCTCCGCTACTGGCGGCCCGGGTTCGGATCCCGGGCGCGCACCGACGCACTGCTTCTCCCGCCATGCTGAGGCCGCGTCCCACATACAGCAACTAGAAGGATGTGCAACTGTGACATACAACTATCTACTGGGGCTTTGGGGGGAAAAAAAAAAGGAGGAGGATTGGCAATAGATGTTAGCTCAGAGCCAGTCTTCCTCAGCAAAAAGAGGAGGATTAGCATGGATGTTAGCTCAGGGCTGAACTTCCTCACAAAGAAATAAATAATAAATAATAAAAAAAAATTGTAGGGGCTGGCCTGGTGGCATAGCAATTAAGTTTGCATACTCCACTTGGGCTGCCCGGGGTTCGCAGGTTTGGATCCCAGGCGCAGACTGACGCACTGCTTGTCAAGCCATGCTGTGGCAGTGTCCCATATAGAGTAGAAGACGGGCACAAATGTTAGCCCAGGGCCGATCTTCCTCAGCAAAAAGAGGATTGGCAACAGATGTTAGCTCAGGGCTAATCTTCCTCACAAAACATAAATAAAAAATTGCAGTAAACTATACATAAAATTTGCCATTTTAACCATATTTAAGTGTACAATTCAGTAGCATTAAGTATGTTCACAATATTGTGCAACCGTCACCACTACCCATTTCCAGAACTATTTCATTATGCACAACAGAAACTCTGTACTTGTTAAACAATAACTCTCCCTTCCCTCCTCCTCCTAGCCCCTGGCAGTCTCTACTCTATTTTCTGTCTCTATAAATTTGCCTACTCCGGGTAACTCATGATTGGTTTTATCTTTCAGCCAGACTGAAATGGGAAGAGGACAGTGAGTGGAAACACTAGTTGAGAAATTTGATTCTGAGTAGAAGACAGATGATAGCTGGAGGAGATGAGAGTGGGTGCTTTATTTTGTTTAGTTTTTAAAGATGGTTGTAATTTGAGCCTAAAAGTCAAAGTTGCGAGTTTCCAGTTGAGAGGGAAGTTGAATATCTGAGGCTTGCAAAGGCATGGTAAGATCAGGGTGCTAAGAAGAGATAGAAGAGAGCAAGGGTGAGCACTGTAGTGGAAGTGAAGGGCAAGATTATGAAGGGAATTATTTGCCAAGATAAATTTTGAACTTTATTAATAATCACCGTCAGGATTTGAGTACCTTTGCCAGGTACTGGGTTAGGTGCTGGACGTAATTTTCTCTTACGACGCGGCAAGACAGGTATTATCTCTATTTTACTGGTAAGAAATTAGACTGAGAGAAGTAATTTGCCAAAGACCAGTTTTTAGTGGGTTCCAGCCATCTGGCTGAGAATGGGCTGCAAGCTGAAGTTATAACATCCTAATTTTATAACCAATTCTTATTGATAAATAAATGAAAAGCAATAGGATATACGGGAGTGTGTGAGGAAGCCATTTGGTTTAAAACTAACTTGGCCTGACATTGTTTTTCCAAAACGGCCTGACGTGGCCTGTTGAGCATGCATTGTACATCTGCTTTAAATATTTACTATGTCCCAAAGACAAGAATGATGCCCCTAATGATAGGGATGTAAAGTCCCCCATATCGGCATTTCCTTTAGGCTAAGCATCTCTCCCTAAACTAAGGATTAATTACTGACCTGCTGTGCTCACCTTGTGACCACTCCCCTTTGTGACCACCAACCTGCTGACCACCGATCTGCTGTGCCAGCAATCTCATGACTCTTGTAAAAGGGACATTCCTATCATGTGTGATGTATGCTCTTTGTTCCAAGATGGTATATAACCACTCTGTATACCCCACTTTTTGGGTGCCCTTCCTTCCTTGGGGAAGGCAAGCCCAGGCTAGTCTTCAGATCTGGCTCAGAATAAACTCATCCCAATTTCGATTTATAGATTGATTATGGATTATTTTTATCGACATTATCCTGTCACCTTCATTCAAAACCTCTAGTATGTACTTTCCCTCCACACGCTTACGCCATCGATGAATTCCTGTAGTTTTCTTGTATTTCAAATCTTTCTTTACACCATCACTGTCACAGCCCTAACAATTTGATTTCTGTTTTTTTGATGTCCTTGACTCCATTCTCTTAATCCTGCCATCCATCTTTAACACCAATGCCAGATTCATTTTTCTAAAACATTCATTATGGAGACTGCCTGCTCAAAATGCGTCAGTGATTCCTTATTGCCTAGACTCTGGTTCCCAGAGTGTGAGCCAAGTCACCCTTGGGCAGCAAACTCACAGGCTGCCATGGGATATTTTAGACTTTGGGGGGAATCACAGTGACACCTGACATCTGTTAAACAATATGTGAACTACTAGCTCCAAGCAGATCAGTTTCAACATTAGATCATTCCTTTCAGTGTCAAACAGGGAAGGAAGGTGGCAGTGTCCAATTTGATTCCAAAGTTTGAGATGTTAAGCAGTGCCCAACATCCCACTAGTAAATAATTGTAGTTATTAAAAATGAAATAAAAGTATTTTTTTTAGATTTATCTGTATTATTTTTTCAAATATCTACTAAGTTGTTAGGACATAAGTACTTATTGTTTGGATCTAACTACTTAAAATTGAACTGAGGTATTTCTTTTGGTGTGTCTCAAAATATTACTGAGACACTAAGGGCATCACGAACTGAGAAAGTTTGGAAATCTGTGGTCTAGATGATAAAAATCCACACTTCTTAGCCTGGCATTCAAGGTTCTTCAAAACTTCTGGTAACAACCACACACCTTCCACCCCCATTACTCCCTGGCTCAAATCTTTCTCCAATACTTGCTTGTAGTTTGATCTTAGGCAAATCAAAACTTCTCTGAGCCTATTTCCCCAGCTGTAAAAAGGGGTAATAGTGCTTACCCTGTATGATTGTAATGAGGATTACACGAGAACATTCACAAGGAGAAACCAGTATAAACACTACGTGTGCCATATTATAAAGTGCCACATATTAAGTGTCAGACATAATTTCCTCTTATCTTGAACCCTCTGAACAAGCCTAACCAGTGTTCTTACTAATAATACTACCTCTTATTTTCTTCCTGGAGGTTCTAATGATCCATTCTGTGGGTTTGATTAATTTGCTAGAGTGGCTCACAGACTCAGAGAAGCACTTTATTTATTAGATCACCAGTTTATTATAAAAGGATGTAACTCAGGAACAGCCAGATGGAAGAGATGCATAGGGCAAGGTGTGGGGAAAGGGCGTGGAGCTTCCCTGCCCTCTCTCAGTACATCACACTCCCCAAAACTCCATGTGTTCACCAACCTGGAAGGTCCTCAACTTTTTAGCTAGCCTCTCCAAATGTTACTCTCCCTTCAATCCCCAGTCTCTCTCTTGCATCAAGCATTCCCCAACCAAACCAGCCCATAGTTAACTACTATAGTACACAACCCACTGTTTAGTAAGGTATTGCCTTTTGTTTTTCAACTTGTATGTCATCTGCACATTTTGTTCCACCAAATAGGCTGTTACCATCTTTGAGGTTAAGAATGTCATGCTACGTTAAAGCTTCCTATACCATCTAGGAAAGCGGAGGATGCAGATCACTATTTGCTGAGTCTATGTAATGTATGAATTTATTCAGGTTCCAGATCAGATTAAGCATCCAGAATACCTCCACATGTACAAAAGGCAGATGGAGCACCAGAGGTCAGAGGGAACAAGAGAAAAGGCAAGAGTGCACAAATGCTGGCTGGTAGTGCAAAGTAGAACCACGAGGCAAAAGCCTTGTGAGACCAGGCCATGAGTGAACAGGATCTCCAAATTGGGAAAGATGAGTATTGACCGGCATTGAGATAGTTCCATTCCTAGGACTTAACTAGGCAGGCAGGACAAGAAGTGAGGATCCCACAACTGAATTTTTTACCCTCTCCTTCCAAGAAGGAAGCAGAACTCTTTTTTTCTTTGGCCAGAAATGCCTATTACCAATTCATTTGGATAAACAATCTTTTAAACTATAAACATCCTGAAAATGGGTAGAAGAAAATATTCAGTCCTTCTCACTGATGAGAATTATTTAACTAGATTTTCTTTCCAAAATATCTGAGACATAACCAACTGTGTGAATGTTTGTGTGTGAAGACAAAGAATTTTAGCTCTGTAAGTTAGGGTAGGGGTGTTACTTGGCTTGACTGGGTGGTTCTGGGCAGCCTCAATAATGCTGAAAGGTGGGGGGGTTTGGTGAAGAAATTGGGAGACGGCCAAAGCCAAATCTGCCCAGTTTGACTAAGAAATGAAATATGGCTATGCCTTTGGTTAACTGGGGGAAGGCCTGCCATGGCCATCAGTTGACTAAGGATCCATGGGCCAGGGCCAGGATTGGCTGTGCAAAGCAAAAAGCAGGTATCTAACCATGCTTAGGAATATAGGGAGAACACAGGCAGCTAGTGACACAAACCTGGTGGACAGAGCCTGGCACCCACTGCTACAAATAGGGACCACCCTCAGAAGATTTGCTAATGCTCCTGGAAGATGGGGCAAGCCACAGAGTGCTTAATGAGTAGAAAAAAATATTCTGGGTTAAATCAGAGTCTTGAACTTGTTAACTAGATTAGTTCAGTAGTATTCAGTGGATATATTTAGGTTAAAAGGCTAATTTCATTTCTCAATGTTGCAGCCCGAATATTTACAGAAATATTTATTTAAAAAAGTAGCACTTTATAAAAAAAAACAGAAATGATTTAGATCAAAAGCTCCAAGGTGTATTGTTTCTGGTAGGTGTTATTGTTATCTACACCTTCACCCCATTTATTAAGCCACTGCAAGTAACTTCAAGTTCATAAACTTACAATGAGGTACAGAGGCCAACCAGGACGGGACAGAACGTGTTCCAAGTGAGAAGCAGACAGCAGAGCTCCTCAGTGATGGCTCCTGTGGAGCACCTGTGCTCCACTGTACAATTAAGGTTTTCTTCCTCTGCATCTGAACGTGACCTTTTGGATTCTCTGGCTGTGGCTGGTTTAGTCTTCTGATTCTCATGGTGTGCCACTATGTTGCCTAGGAGGTCGATCCAAGCTTCCAGGCCCCCCTCTTCTAGGCCTGAATTATGTAAGTGTGAGGTTCAGAAGAGCTGATCAATCTGAAGATTAGGAACACTTACTGAAAGGAGGAACCGCCATTCCAGCATAAACTGTCCTTAATCCTACTGGAGAAACTGTTTCCATTCTGGGATGGTGAGTCCTAGAATATCATGGCCAAGAAGATGTCCTAAGTGGCTTCCTCTAAGAGTTTATCCCCAAGAGGGAGCCATCTGGCCACTTGCTTTTTATCACATCTCTAATAGCTGCTCCATTTCCTCAAGGGCTGCCGTAAAATCATTTACTTGGCTGTTACATAAGGTCTGCTGTTCTAGGAACTTGGCCCTCTCTTCTCCTTTCATCTTCAACTGCACTTTTAAGGCCTGCATGGAAAGATATTCAAAGAGAAAAAAAAAATTCACAAAACTTTGACTCACAGGAAAGATAATACCATACCAGAATATTATACTTCTATTCCAAGACCACTGGAATCCCAACAGACATTGTATTTTCTACCTTAGATTTGTTTATCTGAGCTGGTTTTAGGAATTGTTCCTCTCTAATACAGACTCTGATATCTAAATTAGAGCAATGAAATCCTCCAGGATTCAGTGTAATATCCCATGCTTCACCCAAGCAATCCAAAGCAGTCCAGACCCAAGAATCTGGGTTTCTTATTACAGGTTTCCTTGAGAAATCAAGTTTCCACAGTGTAGATTTCACATAGGTCTCAACTCGCAACTTTGAACAACCTAGCATGTTGCACGTTGCCTCATGCCCTACAGATGTGAGCATTTCTAAGAGTCTTTAGAACAGAAAATTAGTTGAAAAAAATGGTGAAATCAAATGAAGTCTTAGAATTTAGCTAATAGTAATGCATCAATGTTCGTTTCTTAGTTTTGACAAATGTACCATGATAATGTAAGATGTTAATGTTAGGAGAATTTAATTCTCTGTATTATCTTTGTAGCTTTTCTGTAAATCTAAAATTATTACAAAATAGTTTATTAAAAATAGATAAATAAGAAAGAGTCCTCCATAGATCCGCCTATTGTGGTAGGAAACAATAATCTTGCCTCAGGGTGATGTCTGCCTCTCACCTGTAACTCCTCCATCTGCTTTTTGGCTGTTTCATTAAAAAGCTTCAGTTCATCTTGCAAAGTTTCTAACAGCAACTAAGAGGAAAGTACAATGTAGTAACAAATCTTTACTGAAATGTGAAAACTTTCTTTACATAAACTAATCTCTTCATATGAAACGAGTTCAATTAGATGATTGTTAACATCCCTTCCCTTCATTCAGTCACTTACGCTCATGTCTACATATGTGCTGGGCCCTCTCTTGGGTACCCTGGAGGAATTCAGTCTATAGGACAGATGAATTACCCTACTTTCATGTGCTCTGTGCTACACAGGCAATATGAACAAAATGAGTAGCCATTGAAGGTGTGACCAATAGCCTGGCGGAACTGAGGAAGCCTTCCATATCTAGTATTCTATGATTCTAAGATGACAACTGATCTTCCTGGGGAAGAGATGATAGAAGCTCAAAAGATTTTAATCCCAAACAATTATCTTCCTACTTCAGGGAAGGAACCAAAGAGAAGCCAAATTTAATTCAGGCTGGACCTCTGCATCACAGAGTTCTCAGCAAAGGAATAAGGTGAGAAATTTGGCAAAGTAGAATAGAGAAACCAGAAAGCTCTCTATATAAGTCCATTCTATTATGTATTGTAAAGTAGTACATTTTCAACTCAGTATCACTCATTCTTGTAAGCACAAAATCACCTTCCAAGTAAAATATGCTATTTTGAGTACAAATCTACCACTCTCTTCCACTATCATGTGATAAAGGCTGCTTCTTGGGGTTTGCTGAGCATATGACAGAGACCTTCTTAAGATTTGCAGAGCCCCATGGTCACTTGGCCCTCGCCCACTCACATCCATGCCCTCACCATAGAGTCCACATGATCTGTGGTGGGTTCTTGCTCTGACGCCAGGGTCTCATTGCCTAAAACTGATAGAAACAAGAAAGTCAGTCTTGCTTAGGGAACTGCACCTTAAACAGAAGAAAATAAAAACCCCTCCATGGACAAGTACAGGAGTATTCATGAGGGAAATTTCTCTAAGTGCCTGGTCCCTGACTCTCTCTCCTCAGTCTTCACCTTGGCAGGGTCGCCCACACCTGCCCTCTAGAGCCATATTTTACCTCCTTCCTCTCTAGGTTTGGATATGGTCAAAAATGCTTTCTGGGCCGGCTCCGTGGCTTAGCGGTTAAGTGCGCGCGCTCTGATGCTAGCGGCCGGGGTTCGGATCCCGGGAGCGCCCCGAGGCACCACTTCTCCGTCCAACGCGAGGCCGAGTCCCACGTACAGCAACTAGAAGGATGTGAACCTATGACATACAACTATCTACTGGGGCTTTGGGGGGAAAAAACTGAATAAATAAAATCTTTAAAAAAAAAAAAATGCTTTCTGCTTTCTCCTCAGCTCAGTAGAAAATTTGTCCAAAGGAAATGTATAGGTTGGATTTTGTTGTTTTGTTTATAATACAAAAAACTATTTTTAAAAGCTTTCAGGCCTTAAAAAATTATTATTTTTGATAAAAGTAATGCATATACATAGTAAATTAAAACCATACAAAAACATATATGGTGACTATAAAGAATATATCCTAAATGCACAGGTTAATCAGTAGCATTCAAAGTCAGTATTCCTTAATTCAAAGAAGACTGGGCCCCTTCCCTGGGCATTCTCAGGCCCCTCAACTCAGCCTGAGGCCCTCTTACAGTCTTCGGGCAATTCCTTCTTCTGCTCTCCTCTTGGCTACAGACTCTGCTCTCTCGGGACAGGGCAGAACAGAAATCACATTTTAACTACTGTGATTCTGCTGATTAGCCAGGTTTAGGAAACCCTTGAAACAGTATCATCTCTTTCTCTCACACCTGGGAAAGTTATGAAAGAAATAAAATATTTCTGGGGCCGGCCCGGTGGCGCAAGCGGTTAAGTGCGCACACTCCACCACTCCACCGCGGCAGCCCGGGGTTCGCCGGTTCGGATCCCGGGCGCGCACCGATGTACCGCTTGGCAACCCACGCTGTGGCGGCGTCCCATATAAAGTAGAGGAAGATGGGCACAGATGTTAGCCTAGGGCCAGTCTTCCTCAGCAAAAAAGAGGAGGATTGGCATTGGATGTTAGCTCAGGGCTGGTCTTCCTCACAAAAAAAAAAAAAAAGAAATATTTCTGGTCTATTTGCAGATCATACCTGTTGGCACCAAATGAATGGCATACAGTGTTCAGATAAGAAAGAGATAATCCTCTCTCCATAACTATCTGAAATGCTGTTGGTCAGGCAAAGTCAACATCACAAGAGAACAAAGAGAAGCTCCCCAAAATCTTTAGGGCTTTGCTAGGCAACCCCTGCACTGACTGGGCCAGCTGATGCCACGCTGGACTCTTGACACCCAGTCCAGAATCACCCCAGGAAGGGGCATGTGCACAGATTCCTTTGAAGGCAGCTGTGTGCTGTCTCTTACCTGGGTTGAGGCCCTTGCTCTCCAGAATTGCCAAACAGCTGTCCTGAAACTTCTCCAGCAGCTCCACCTTTTGGGTCAGGTCCTTCAGTTCTCCCTATAGGGGGCCATGCAGACAGATCAGGCGTGTCCCACTCCTCAGGGGTGATCTTTTCTGCCCTTGCTCTTGGACAGCCACAGCACAAGCCTGGTGTCTTCTCCTTCTGCCCTTGGGCACCTTGGCATTGCAAGCATGCTCCCACCCGAGGGGCCATCCCTCAGAATTCCACACGCATCGCCCAGGGCAGCTGATGGCAGAGGTCTGGTGGGTCTCTCACCTGAGTTTCAGTCAACTTCTGGTGCAACTGCTTGTTGACGGCCTCTAAGAGCTGGTTCTTATCCTTGAGATCTTCCTCTGATTTCTGCTTACTGACTGGTTTGTAGCTGTAATCATAAGTGTACTTCTATGAAGAGGTGGAGGGCTTAAGAATATGGGCTATGGAGTCACACAAATAGGGGTTCAAATCCTGGCTTCATTACATAGTGGTAAATGACCTTCAGTGAGCTTCATAACCTTTCTGAGGCTGTCTCCTCGTTTCTAGAATCAGGATAATATCTACATCTCATATTATTATTACTGTGAAGAATAAGAGAGAGAAGATACGTACCATTCTTAGCACAGCTACTGACACATAGTAAACATTTAATAAATAAGAGCCATTATCAGCATCAATATTAAACTTTCTTTCCAAAGTTCTCAGAGACCTTCATGATACTGTCTTCAGAACTTTTAACACATGCCCAAATAATAGATTTAGAATTAGAACCTATTTCTACGAAGTTTTCAGCTTATATTATTTCTGTCTTCAGGACTGCAAAATGTCCAAGCCAGCCTCAAACAGAGATATGGATCCTTCTCCAGGATTTCACCGTCACCACCACCATCACCACCACCTCCTCCTCCTCCACCATCACACTAATCTGGAAATCATTAATCACATGCAGCCCCTCCTATCCTGAAGGCTTCACACTCCTGTTGATGGGCCAGAGCTGGGCTTGATTTCCCATTAGCAGTGGTCCTAGCATGGAGCCCAAAAAGCTCCTGTCTGGTACTCAAGAAGGTAGCATCACTGATTCTTGCCCTGACAGTGGTTCTCAAACCTGGCTATGCCTCAACCCTGAAAATTCCATTCAGATTTCTGGGGTGGTACCCAGACTGCGACACATTAAACAAGTCCTTTGAGTGATTCTGATGTATAACTAGGATATCTACTACTCTAAAATAGTGGCCAAAAGCCAGCCCTGATGGTCTAGTGGTTAAGGTTTGGCGCTCTAACTGCTTCAGCGGCCCAAGTTCATTTCCTGGTTGCAGAACCACACCACCCATCTGTCAGTTGCCATTGTCACCAATGGTAGTCACCATTGACATAGTCACCACAGTGAGCTGTGGTGGCTGCTCACACAGGAAAACTAGAAAGATTTAAAACTAGGATATACAACCATGCACTGGGGCTTTGAGAAGAAAAAAAAGAAAAGAGGAAGATTGGCAACAGCTGTTAGCTCAGGGTGAATCTTTCCCTGCAAAAAAATAAATAAATAAAAATAAAAAAATAAAATGGTGGCCAAGTTTCATTTATCCTGATGCTCACCCCTTTCTGACATTCCTCCTGATAGCAGTATCTGCAGCTTTCACCTGCCTAGAGAAGCAAAAACAAAGAAATCAGTTAGAGAATCATAGTACTGTTGTTACGTGTCTTGTGAACAAGGCAGAACAAAGAGCCTGATTTTCTGAGGAAAGAAGCAGAGATTACATACAATGCAAACAGCACATGCTGAGAAGCTCTGAGGGCCCATGGACTTTTGTTTCAGCCCAGACTATTGAAAAAGGCTTATTAATACGGAATGGGCTCCTCTTCTGACCACCTCAACAACCTGACAGACCTGCATGTCCTGCTCAAAATGGTGTGGCTATCTCACGTCAGCCTTATGTATGTGGGAACTGAGCACTGGGTGGAGGGACAAACATACACTACACTCAGCTGGACTGTGCTCAGACCAGCAACCTCAGCCAACAACCAGCCCCCACCCCGACTTGGGGCCAATTGTTCAGGAGCCTTGTGCTCTCAAAAACCCTATTTTCTAATTCTTGGCACTGGGCAATTTCTAGCAAGATGTTCTAATTGGATACCAATGATCTGACTCTCACCCATTTTCTCGTCTTGTTTTGATGATTTTTGTAACATCATTCTCTGAACCTCCCGAATGCAGAAATCTAGAAACATCAACTTCCTTGGACTTAACAGGTAATAAGCTCTTAGAAGTGGCTCGAGTTTGTATGTCTGCAAAGGAAAACAAGAAGTGAAACCTCAAGCATCAGGACGCAACAGCTGCAACTCTGTAACAAACAAAGCTCCATTCCAGGTTGTCAGAAACCTGTATTTTCACTCTGGCCAATCTCAATTTGTGAAGATTAAGTCAGAAGAATAAGACTTCTATGCTAATTGGAGATAGAAACACAAATTCTTTAAATGTGACAGTGCAGTGTGTTTGAAGGTAGCCAAAAGCTTGATGACACATCAGACTGAATGGCCAGAGGGTACAGACGTGAAAGTGGAGATTGATACAAGCAAAGAGCTAAACAAAGCAGTGTGGTCATCAGCAAGGCAAAACACAGCTGAACCCTTCATCAAACACCAGTGGAATGGAACCACCTTGCTATGCTAAGCACTCTGCACGCTCTCCTAAGGCTACGCTCAAGCTGCTTGAGTCTATCTTTTAACTGCTGCTTAGTTGTTTTGACCAGACTGTCTCCCTAACTCCTCTAAGAGACGTCTTTGTGTCCCCAGTGCCTAGTAGAGTACCTGGCATATTAACAGAGGTTCAAAACTGCTTGTTGAATATATGGAACACTACACAGCTCCACGGATTATTTCACAGACCATCTCTAAACTAGCTCTTCTAGTCTTCTTACCCCTTTCCATGCTGATCACCTTTCCACCAGCCCTTTTAATTTGTTTATTCAAGGTTCCCTATTTGGCACTCTGTTCTGATCTTCCTGCTAGGCTATTGCCAGATAACCAGAGAAATGGCCCTGCCATGAAACTCCTCTTCCTCAGAGGTGAGCATTTTCCCTCTAGCCCTTACACCAGCCCTCCACTACACATACCACACCACACCCATGCGCTTTTCTAGTTGATGCTTTCACCTTGTTCATTGTAAAATGGCTTGTTTAAGCTTGACCTAAGAGCCACACAATTAAGCCCTAACAATTAAATCAGGTTGAAGAAATGAGGTCCAAAGCACTGGATCACAGGGATTAGGAAATTTTGTATTTGATAAAGATTTAATTTTGATGACTCTAGCTGCATGACAGTTTGGAATAAATATGATTTCTCAGGCTAACAAATTATTTCATTTATAGGTATACTCACCAGGCACTTGCTCCCTATTTTCCATACTCTTACCCACAAAGCAAATATTAAAAGGGTTCTTTTTGAGGTCTCTGTCTGAAGCAAAAGGTAACCTTAGGGGAATGCATGTACCTTCTCCTCTCTCAAGTATCAATAAGTTATACACAATAACAAATCTACCCCATGTAAAAAGGAGTTAATAGAAAATTGATCAAAATTAACACTCTTCATTGATCGAAGTTGGTTCCAATAATCCATATTTGCTAGAACTTAAAGACTGCATTGTAGGAAAAATTTAGCAGAATTTAACAAACACTGTCTTTTTTTTTGCGTGTGTTTGTGAGGAAGATTAGCCCTGAGCTAACATCCACTGCCAATCCCCCTGTTTTTGCTGAGGAAGAGTGGCCCTGAGCTCACATCAGTGCCCATCTTCGTTCTTCGTTTACTTCATGTGGGAGGCCGCCACAGCACGGCTTGATAAGTGGTGCGTAGGTCCATGCCTGGGACCCGAACCGGCGAACCCCAGGCTGCCGAAGCGGCGGATGGGAACTTAACCACTAAGCCACAGGGCTGGCCCCGTCTTCTTAAAATGAGAAATGCAGGGGCCAGCCCAGTGGTGTAGTGGTTAAGTTCGCACGCTTTGCTTTGACAGCACAGGGTTGGCGGGGCCAGGATCCCAGGCGCAGATCTACACACTGCTCATCAACCTATGCTGTGGCCACATCCCACATACAAAACAGAGGAAGACTGGCACAGATGTTAGCTTAGGGCCAGTCTTCCTCACCAAAAGAAAAACAAAAAAAAGAGACCCTAGGGAGGGGAATTGGATGGCTGGTGTCAAGGAAGGCAGGAGACTTGTTTTTCCCTGCATATCATTTTCTAACTTTGGATTTTTTTTTAAATGTGCATATGTTAGTCAAAAAACTAAAACTTAAAAACAACTAACCCATGCTCAAAATCAAAATAAAAAACCTGGGATACAGCCTAAGAATGTCAAACCACTGAGGTTACATATTATCATAACTCTAGGACAGGGATAGAGAGCAAAGAGATGAAAACTTCGGACTTGGCTGGGGAGAGCCAGTCATCAGTCATACCCCCCTGACAGAGGGGCACTGCTCTCGGAGGGAAAGGCAGTGGAAGGAGACATGGATGCAATTCCCCCAGCAACTTGGAGGCCCTGATGATGCCAGGAATACCATTCAGGTGTTCTCTGAGGCAACAGAAGACAAACAGAAAACCCCTGAAGCCTTCGGAGAAAAGCCTATTTACTTTACAGACCAATCCTGCTCCTGCTCATCAACCAGCTGCGTGGAGTCACCTGGGAAGGGATCTTATATAGCTGCTTCAAAATCTCCCACAACAGGCTCTGATGTTTGAAGTTTATTCTGTGCTATAATCTCTAGATTAGGCAGCTCCACAACTGAAGGCCCTAAGAGATGACTTTCAACCACAAGCCAAGTAACACAAAGCAAGATGGCAAAGCCATCAAAAATGTTTTTTAATCATGTCTCTTCTCCCAAGGTTCTGGAATACTCTAGCTAGGCCTGACCCCTCTCTCTCACTTCACTCTACCAACATTTACTGAGAATGTACTATAGAAGAGGCACTGTGCATATCAAATGTGAACCACACACAGTGTGAACCCTAGCGCTTCCCCCTTAGTATCCCCTTCTCAAATGACTCTCCTCTCTTCTCCCTGACAACAAACCCAGTCCCTCCAGATAGCCCAAGTCTTGAAATAAAACGGGTAACTGTTTAAAAAGGGATTCCTAGCTTAATGGGAATAATACTGTAGAACAATCAGCAACCGAAATCTAATTGGTGAATCCAGCACGGTTAGGTTTGGGGGAGGAGGGGTGCAGGGCAGGTCTAAAATCCTACCACATGGCCCTTCCCCTAACTCCCATCGTACACCTAGACAGCCCGCTTCTAGCGGAGTTAGAGGGTTGTCAGAGCCGATGAAATGCCCTCCCTCTGCCCGCGCCCCCCATTCCCGGCCTGACCGCCCCAGGCTGGTCCCCAGTGCCCGAGGAGGGCGGCGTGGATACCCACCTGCCGGCAGGCCGCCGCTCAGCACAGAGGGGGGCTGCAGGGTGTACACTGTCTTAACCACGCTGGTCATCGTAACGAGGCGGCACGGCTGGGCCCTGGAAGGTGCAAGGTGAATGTTACCCAGGGTGGGCCAAGGGGTCCGGGCAGGTGGAGGGCCCAGGGAGAGCGCGCCCCGACTCCCGGGAGGAGGGGCTAGCCCAATTGCGCCCTGGCCCCCGAAGCAGGGCCTCACGCGTACCCTCCATGGCGGCTTTTCTCCCCGGAGCCGAGGCCTGGGCACTAGGAAGGCCGGGCCGCCCCGACTCCCGGGAGGACTCGAGAGAGAGAGAAAATCCTCCATTCCCAGCCCACCTCGTCCGACCCCCACACCCAGCTCAGTCCCTCGCCCCGGGAGAGCCGAACCCAGGCGCCTGCTGCTCCTGCCTGCAGCCCTCGTCGCTCTGGTTCGGAAGATGCTCTGCAGCAACTGCCGCTCCGCCGGCCGGGTCTGCCGCCTGGGTTTCAAATAGAAACTTCCGGTGGCCGGGCGGAAGTGGGTGCGGTGCGTACCCTGTAGGCGGCCATCTTGTACTGCAGGCACTGCCGTGGGCCACGCCTTTGGGGGCTGCCATGCTGTACGAGCAGCCGAGCAAGCCGGAGCTTCTTGACGATGGGTGTCGGAGCCCCCAGCTTTGGGCGGGGGAGGGGAGTTGTGCACTTTGCCGGCCTGAATGGAGCTATGAGCCCCCGGCGTCATATTTCGGGCTTGGGACGCACTCGTGGTCACGTTTAGATCCATGTCACAATCCTTCTCTTTATTTGGTCTGTGATTGTTAGGTACATTGCATGATGCCTGATTTCCAGGAGCACAGGGTATTTGGATGGAGGAAACTACATGTTACAGGGTGGAGAGTGGCAGGTGGGGTTTGAAGAGGGCCTGTGGGCGGAAATACCTGAGGTACCTACCTGCAGTCCTGACTTTAATAACTCTTATCTAGATTTTAAGCAGAGATTCAAAGCTGCTCCTAGCGAACAGAGTTCTCAGCAGTGCAGAGTTCTCAAGCACTTAATGCACTCATTCATTTCACTCAACAAATATTTATTGAGCACCTATTGAGCACTACTCGAAGAGGGCTTATGGTGGGCGGGGCAGCAAATATCAAGACTGACCTTGGGTCTGCCCTCCTGGAATTTACAATCTAGGAAAATAATCACACGAACTTGTCAATTACATCTCAGTTAAGCTGGGAAAAAATCCCGAATAAATATGTATCTACCAACAGTAGTAAAACTCTGAAGGAAAAGTACAATGTGCTGTGAGAGAGAAAAGCAGGGAAACCTAATTTAAATTGGGGAGTCAGGGAAGACATCTGAGATGATGATTGATTAATGAAGAACGAGTGGAAGTTAATCGGATGAACAATGGGGGAGGGGGGAGAAATGCAAAGTCCCAAGGTAGGAATGGGCTTTTCTCCTAGAAGGGACTGAAAGATGGGAGGAGTGGTCTAGATAAAGTTGGAAGAAATCAAATGGCAGCCTTTGTAGGCCAAAAGTAAAGAGATTAGATTTTATCTTAAGAGTAATGGGAAGTCACTGAAGTATTAGAGCAGGACAGTGTTATTCAATTTATATTTTAAAAATCTCACTCTGGCTACTCCATGGAGAATGGATTGAAGGGGGGCAAGAGTGGCACAAGGGAGACAGTTGGGAGGTCACTGTACCCATTCAAGTGAAAGATGATGGTGGTTTGGCCATGATGGTGGTAGTGGAGATGGAGAGAAGCAGACAAATTTAAGACAGCTTTTGGAGGTAGAATCTCAGGACCCAGTGCTAGATTGGATGTGGGGGGTAAAGGGGTAAGGGAGAGGGTGATCTTAAGGACGACTCCCAGGCTTGAATAATTGTGTGGATAGAGTCACTATTTTGTCTTGGGGGGAGATTGAGAGTTCAGTTTTGAACATGGTAAGCTTGAAATGCCTCTGAGATATTCAAGTGGAGCTGTCAAGTAGGCAGCTGGAAATATAGTCTTTGAGCCCAGAGGTGAGTCTAGGTTGGAGATATTCTCTTGGGAGTCATGAGTATATGGATGTATTTGAAGCTGCGATATTGAATGAGATCATCAAAGGAAGAAGTGTACAGAGAGCCTTAGGGCCAAGGACAGGGAGAGCAGCATGTAGAAGCTGCAATGATAAGAAGGTGCCAGCCAAGAAACCTGATAAAGAGGTGCCAGAGAGGTGAGAAGAAAAAAAAATGGGTGGTATCCGAGAAGCTAAGAAGGAGGAAGTCGTAAACTGCTGAAGGAGGGAGTGGTAAACTATTGAAAATAACTGAAAGGGCAAGCAAGATCAGAACTATAAAGGATCTATTTAATTTAACAACAAAGAAGTCATTGGTGAGTACAGGAAGAGGAATTCTGGTGGAGAGGTTTGAGTGGAATCACGGTAGTACAGGTCACAGAGTACAGGAGAGATGAGGCAGCAGAGATGGCAAGTGAAGACAGAGTTTGTGAATGGAGTAGAGTAGTTGGGTGGTAACTGGAGGTGGGTTGTGGCAGTCAAAGAAGGGTTTTCTTGAAGATGCAGATTCTAGTTGGTACATATGCTGAGAGGAAGAAAAGGATATTTCATGGGGGAGATGGGATGATCACAGGAGCAAAGTCATAGAGAAAGGGGAAAGGAAGACGGGATCTAGAGCAGCAACTTCAAACTCTTATTCATGTACCTCCACAAAATACCTTAAAAAAACAATCATCTTACCTATTTTTAGTTGATGTCTAAATTTTTTCTTTTTCCCCAAAGCCCCAGTAGATAGTTGTATGTCATTGTTGCACATCCTTCTAGTTGCTGTATGTGGGACGCCACCTCAGCATGGCCGGAGAAGCGGTGCCTTGGTGCACGCCCGGGATCTGAACCCCGGGCCACCAGTAGCGGAGCGTGCGCACTTAACCACTAAGCCACGGGGCCGGCCCCCTAAATTTTTTCAATTTTAAATATTTGTAAAGGACATACCTTCTACCTATTATATGTTGTTCATGCTCTTTGTTTCTAAAATTCTTTTTTCTTTTAGTGTTTCATTTTGGATAATTTCTATTGCTAGCTCAAGTTCAAGTTCACTAATCTTTTTTTTCTGTAGTGTCTAAACTGTTGTTAATTCCATCAGTGATTTTTCATCTCAGACATTTTAGTTTTCATCTACAAGTTCAATTTTGGTTTTTTTGTTTTTTTTTTTTATATCTTCCAAGTCTCTACTTAGCTATGTGAACATATGGAATACAGTTATGATAACTGTTTTGATGTCCTTGCCTGCTAATTCTCACATAGGTATCAGTTCTGGGTTGGTGTCAATTGATTTTCCTCCTCACTATGGGTCATATTTTTCTGCTTCTTTGCATGACAGGTAATTTTTTTATTAGACCCCAGACATTGTGAATTTTTTACGTTTTTGGGCACTGGTTATTTTTGCATTCCTGTAAATGTTCTTGAGGTTTGTTCTGGGATGCAGTTACAATACTTAGGAACAGTTTGATCTCTTCAGGTCTTGCTTTTAAGATTTGTTACGTGGGAGCCAGCAGTGTTTAAACTAGGGCTAATGAGTTCCCACTACAGAGGCAAGCTCCTTCTGAGAACTCTAACCAATGCTCCATAAATTATCAGGTTCTCCAGTCTGGCTGATGGGAACTGGCACTGTTCCAGCCCTAGGTGACTACTGGCTACTGTTCCCTCTAGTCATTTTGGGTAGTTCCTTCCTTGGTCTCAAGTAGTTTCCTCACACTTATATGCTGAGCAGTGCTCTGCTGAATACTCCAGGGGGGCCATTTGCAGATCTCCAGAATTCTCCCTCTGTGCACCTTTCTCCTCTCAGTCAGTATTCTGTCCTGACCACTCTAGCTACCTTGGTTGCCCCAGACTCTGAGCTATCTCCTCAGCTCGGGGAGTCTGCATGGCCTTGCCTGGGTTCTGCCTCCCTGTAATATGTCCTAGAAACTCTCTCAAGCAGTAAGCTGGGGCTGTCACAAGGCTCACCTCATTTGTTTCTTGTCCAGAAGAGATCACCGTCCTTTGTTGTCTGATGTCCAGTGTTGAAAACTGTTGTCTCATATATTTTTTTCTGTTGGGTTGGTTGTTTCAGGAAAGAAGATAAATCTCGTTCCTACTACTCCATCTTGGCTGGAAGGGGAAGTTGTATGTGTACATTAAATGTATTTTTCAGGCCAGCCCCATGGCTTAGCGGTTAAGAGCACGTGCTCCGCTGCTGGCGGCCCGGGTTCGGATCCCAGGCATGCACTGAGGCACCGCTTCTCCGGCCATGCTGAGGCCGCGTCCCACATACAGCAGCTAGAAGGCTGTGCAACTATGACATACGACTATCTAATGGGGCTTTGGGGGAAAAAATAATAAAATAAAATAAATGTATTTTTCTTCAAACCATGGAGCCGCAGATTTAAATTATTCCATTCTGGGAAAATGTCCACCATATATCCTATTTGCAAAGCTAGTCCTGTCAAACCCATCAGCCAAATCAGATTGACTTTCCATCAGAAAAAGTATGATTTTGTTTTTCAATTCAAATAAGTGTGGTTATTATACAGGTTATTATCCTGTATCAACCTCTTACTTTTGAATTTGAATTCTTAAATGGAAAAGGCACAGAACTGAGCTACAGGGCTGCCCCTTTGCAACTTCTCATAAAAGCTCTCTAGGCTTTGCTGTCTCAAGGACTTCCTCAAGCAGAGCATTCTCAAGTAGTCCTTTTATTGTTTTTTTATACTGCAGAGTGAGGTGCCAGAATAGGATTCAGAACGAAGGAGGGGGTCAACTGGGAAAGTGGAGGTCAGGAAGGAGAACTGGCTGACCTAAGGCTCCTTCTTAGGCTGATCAATACGAGGAGATGGACCATATGAAGGAGGAAGCTCTGGAAATTGATTCCCTTAAAATTATCTGTATCCACCTACCTTCTAGAAAGTCTTCATGTTCCTGTGGGAATGCAAGCCCTAGTTTGAAAGCCTCTGATGCAAAGCGTGTGAAGCCATTGATGGAGCCATTACTGCTTCCTTCATTTTTTTTTTTTTAAAGATTTTATTTATTTATTTTTTCCCCCCAAAGCCCCAGTAGATAGTTGTGTGTCACAGCTGCACATCCTTCTAGTTGCTGTATGTGGGACGCGGCCTCAGCATGGCCGGAGAAGCAGCGCGTCGGTGTGAGCCCGGGATCCGAACCCGGGTCGCCAGCAGCGGAGCACGCTCACTTAACCACCAAGCCACGGGGCCGGCCCCTGCTTCCTTCATTTTAATAGAAGGGATGGGGAGAGAAGCAGGCAGGAGCAGAGATAGGTAAGTTAGGGACTTGATGCCTTGAAAGTGAGGAAATGTCTATCTGACGCTTCCAGTTTTCTTTATGAAGAATGAATTTTTTGTCTACTGAAACGGGGTGCAGGGAGGTGGAGGGCATCAGATGTTTGAGGAAGGTAGAGAGAGTGTAAAATGGTCATTACAAAGAATGGAAAGCAGTGACTAGAACAGAAACTAGCTAGGCAGGGCTGAGGTCCAGTGGAGTTGGTGGTCATGAATTCAGATCTACATCAATCTGCCCAGTGTGTGAGTTTCTTCAGCAATACTGAAGCTCTTGTTTGATGTCTGTGAA